TGTAAATAAGACACCGGTGCTGGCCTGATGCATCAATCACCTCTCAGGACAGGAGAAAGACCTCAGCTGAAATATGAAGGATTTCATAAAGGCGTCTTTTGTTAGCCATCATTGTCCGTTCTGAGATAAGACTCTTCCTGTAAAGGCAGGAGAAACATTAGGAAAGCTGCTTGTGCTATATGTCTTTGTAAAACTATTTCCCCTTTCAGTGAAAGACAGCTCCTCTCTGGCAATCCCACCGTCAGACTTATTTACAATGAAAGCTATCCTTTTTATTTCTAGCTGGTCTATCAGCAGACAGTCCCAACAGAACGGTACATACAGGCCTGTGACATATAGGCCTGTAGTTCCCCTTCTTTGCGATGACACTAAAGATATAGGATGTGAATGACAGCATAGCTACTGTTTGCTCACCCTTCCCCAGACAAAACACAGTATTATTCTATTATCTATCTAGACACCACCTCTTCTTCCTGCTCTCCACCTGTCTCTCCTCCCCCCACCATCTTTTTGGCCTCCTCTTTATTTTTTTTTTCTTCTGCTCCTTGAAACCTAGGCTGTCCATCTATGTTTAAGACACATTACATGTGGCCTTCTGGAATTTACAGTGGCGCTCTCCCAGTAACTCCATTTTGCTCAGCCGTCCCTTGAGAGTGTGGCGAAATGTCAAGCTGCAAGGCTTGAAAGAGAGACGGGGAGGAAGGGACAGTGGGAGAGGGAGAGATGGAAGGAATTGTGAGGAGAAGATGAGGGATGAAGTGAAATCTGCTGAAAAATGAGCACTTATTGACAAGTGTTTGAATCTGTTGGACTCGTCATGGTAAATGAACTCATCAGGTTCAGTTGTTTCTAGTTTGAATAGCTGTCTGTTACAAATGACCCAACGTCTCGTATAATGAGCCAACAGCCAGTCCAAACCAGCCAAGACCAAATCATGTTGTTGACATCTTTTCCAGAATGTTGCATTGGTTTATGCCAGTGGTTTAACGTCCACCAAAATAAAATACTGGGTTCTTCGGTTGTTTACAACCCTAAATGTAGCACTTTTGGTGCAGCCAAATTTTGCATATCAGGATACTTTTAAGGGTTTTGCCAAATTCAGTGTACTGACTGATGTTAAATGTAAAATGGATGTTAATTTAAAGGTTTCAAGTAACATTTGCCTAAATCTCAGTGGGATTTTGGTGATTGGAGCTCTAAAGTACACTTACAGTTAGAGTTGGGTTTATTTGATCAAACTGTTTGATAGCTTGTCAGGAAATTGCTCAAAGAAACCAATTTCTGAGTGGATGGCTGCCATCTCATAACAGCTCCAGTCTTCTAATTTTCATGGCATTTCATAACAGTGTTGGTTCATAAACTGAATAAAGACTGGAGCAGCTCAAATTCCAGTTGGGCCTTTAAAGCCATAATGGCATGTTAAGAATTGGCATATTTGAATGAATATATTTCAAGAATATATTGATTTGTTGTTAAAATGGTTTCAATCTCCAAGATTTGTCTTTGATGCATGCAAACATTGCTTAATTGTGATTTTGGCAGAAATGTTAATACATTCCTACAGGACATGACCCCTGAATGCACAGGAAGTGCTAGACTTAGCTGCTGGTGGTGATAGGTTTGCCTTTAAATTGCCACAAAATGCCATGTAAAATAAAATTCATTGAGGTAAACGAATGCGAAAAGGCTTTTATTTGAGAAATTCTGGAGATTGGAGACATTTTTAGGACAGTAGCACCTGTTCTGGTCTTAGATGTGCTTGGACTAGCTGTTAGCTTATCCCTCATGCTGGACCAAAATGCTATTTGTCCAAACTGAGGCCATTCAGAAGTGATCGATTATGTGTATATTAGTCAGTGTTTGTAACTTTTACACAAACACCCATCAAACTCCTTCTAAAGACCTTCAAATGGAAATCAGATCAATTTATTTTTGATTTGGTTCCATCTTTCTTAAACTGTCTCATCTCTTTAGTCAGTACTCACTGTATTTAAAGGCCTTTACAAATAAAGCGAGCTTGGCTGGCTTTTGTCCTACACAGTGCAGTGATAAATGTCTTGGCTGGGGTTAACCACCTTTGTGTAAATAAGAGGCAGTCATTGAGTCGCACGATCTGTGGCCGATAATCTGGCTGTTTGGAGCGAGCCCGGTGCAGGCCAGGATCAATGGCCACTTCACAACTCATTTCCTTTCACGCCTCTGTAGCTGCCCCGGTCCAGCTCTGGGAAATAAATGGCACTGGATCTATACGTCCACTCACAAAAGCACAAACACATATACAGCCGTGCATAAAAGACACACACACTACACATTCTCCAGGATGACCGACCGATTACTCCACCTCAATAGCCACCACAATCATTTATTTGTAAACTGACTTTGTGCATCATCCTTAACAGGCCCTCTGTCATTGTTTGTTGCCACTCCCCTGTCACCAGCTTAAAGAGTCATTAATACAGCAGGGTGGAGTCTTACTGTCTCACCCGAGCTGGAAACACACATCTAAACACCTCTGTTTTAGTTTAATATGAAGTTAAAAGCAGAATAAAGGAGGAAAAGTCATTTGGTGTGTGTTTTCCAATTCATAAAAGGTAACACATTGCTGCCATAAATATTTCCCCCCTGACGAAGAAGAGGGGAAAAAGCCAAGTGGCTTATAGTCATTTGATAGGGTACGACAGCGCTATCCATTTAACAGAGCTTAAAAATCCTACATATGCATATGCCGGGGTGTCTTAAGCCGACAACCAAAAGACAGGATTTGCTAGAAGGCAGCTTTGGAGTGTTGTGAATTTAACAAGCATGTCTAGTATTACAGTTCCTCTCTGCTTTAGTCATGAATAGTAACAAATCAGAGTCTGAAACGCGTGCCTGATGGTTTGTTGTGTACACCCACTTCTCTAACTAATATCAAAATGACTGCAAATCTGGTTAAGACGCCGGCTAGCACAAGGAGGTAGCATCTTTTAATGTCACTGCTGCTTTTCTCTAATGCGCTCTGAGTCTCTGCTAACAGATTCCAGGTATCTTCTTTTCCTCCTCGCTAGTTGCACGTGTTAACACTCTTTGCTGCTCTGATTACCTTCATCCCTGACCTATTTCTGAATATATTTATGGCTCCAGTCTTCTCCCAAGTTGTTTGTAGTCGTAACATTACCCATCCACACGGCCTCCAAACACCGTATACATATGTAAGAGGGCCAAGCGGGCTTTCAGTCCTCTCCTTTTCACAGCTTTTCATACAAATGCGGTAAATAAGCTCAGGCCGCGGGGAATTGAATGCTTCAAACAGACAAACTCACTGACATGTCACTTAGTGCCGGCTTTGGCACTCTTCACTGCAGGCTTCAGAGCCGAGGCTGCCGGGTATTTCAGAGCATCAGCCAGCACCCGGTCCTTACTGGTGTACTGCCATCTGTGTCCGCTCCAGGTTCATAAATATTTGTTCTGTTTCTCCAATTGTGCAAATGTCATAAACAGCTTGGTGACTTATGAAACAAAGTCTACTTACAGTAGAGTCTCTATGAAGGGGAAACCCGGCGTTTGTTTTGGGCCGACGCGGAGAATGAGGTGTACTCTGGTGCAAGGTTAATGATGGAAGTGACACGGGCATTCATTGCGACAGAGATAGACCGGTCCGCCTCTCTCCAACCTGCCATTCCTCATCAGGACTAAACCGCTGCTTATTTACCCACATCGGGGGTCTTAACTGGCACGAATTGATCAGTGATAGCTCTGGAAAGCTGCTTGTTCCACCCTGATAAAGGTGACGCCCGCGAGCATATGCAGAACATGCTTTGTGGGCTAGGAGCGACACTTCAAGCTTGAGTAGACAGTAAGCTGATGTTGGTTTCACGCATGAGTCCATAGAGCAAAATTCTTCCAGTGGAAATTGGGAGGTTTGATTGTTTCTGCATATGCATTTATCAGAAGTTTACATGATAAATATACATTAGCTTGGTGGTTTGGCCATGCGTGGTATTGTTTCTGTTACCATTCTTCATGCATTCCTTTTTCACCTGTTTGAACTTTCTCATTCAATTCACCTCAAGCCCGATAATCTGGATTTGCACAAAGCTACAAATGGAGTTTGTGCATCGTTAGTCTGCCTCAAAGAGGTAGGGGAGGAGATACCTTTTTGTTTGCACCGGTTTTCTCCTCCAAAAAAGGCTAATTTTGCCCTATTAAATTATTTAGATGCATATCTGCAGTACGCGTGAAAAAACGTCCATCTTCGTCTTTTTAAAATTCCCAAATGATGTCATTCATCTTTCATGTGAATTTCAACCACAGCTTTTTCGTATTTTTATAATCACTGTAATTGTTCTGTCCTTGTGTGGAGTGCTACGAAGGGAGTGATCTTGCTTTTGGCACATCTATCAAAAGCCAAAGAAACAGAGAACGAAAAGGAGGCCTCTTTCTCACATAGTTGGACTAAGTGTGCAACAGAGTGATAAATTTTCTTGTTAGGAGAAATTACATCCACTAACTTGAGCTACTTCAGCATGAAATTGAAAAAGAAGCATTTCTTGTGAATTTCCATCCTTGATTCAATGAAAGATGTAGATTAGCCTTTTGGAAAAGGGCGGGAGCTAGAATGTAACTAAAGGAGTGCGATTCTGCTCACGCGTGCTTGTTCATAGATGCGTGATATGGGATGCTGTTGGGGGGAAAAATTCTGTTTGTGGAAGTAAGGCTCAGTCTAGCTGGACGCAGATTAAGGAAAAGTGTGCCTAACATCTCTTTCTCTTGTGTGTGTGTGTGTGTGTGTGTGTGTGTGTGTGTGTGTGTGTGTGTGTGTGTGTGTGTGTGTGTGTGTGTGTGTGTGTGTGTGTGCGTGCGTGTGTGTGTGTGTGTGTGTGTGTGTGTGTGTGTTGGTGTGGCATTCATGTTTAAACCTCATGCAACTCGCCAAGCCTTTTTTTTCTCCTATCTTTTCTCTGTCTTTGTCATTTTCATACACACACACACACACACACACACACACACACACACACACACACACACACACACACACACACACACACACACACACACACACACACACACACACACACACACACACACGCACGCACACACACACACAAACTCATTTCACAAGTCAAGTGTCCTGTGCTGGTGGTGTTCTGGTGAAGGGGTGGCGTCTGATTGACAGACTGGGTGTCAGAGAAGAAGGTAGATAACTGTATCTTTCCCTGCTCAGTTAAAGGTCAAACACACGTAGCTGTAATTGGAATATTCACAAGACAACAACCATGGTTCAAGGCAGAGGGGATGGAATGACCAGATAAGGCAGAGAAGGAGAGGAAAACAGAGGTGTTTCATAAGCAACACGATGGAGAGATGGCGGCCGGTTTAGAAAGTAGTCCTCACGGAAAGTAACGGAGCTAATGTGAAGAAAAGTAATCACAAAAACCTGCACAAACCAAGCTATTAAAGAGGTCCTTTACTCATGTTTTAATGCATTTGCAGTGATCTCTGATAGGACTTAATCATTTGTAAGTTGTACTCTGGTGCGCCTGTTTCAGCACGAATAATTCAGCCAGAGGAGAAAGTAGCTTCAGATGGCAGGATTTGGAGTCTTATTTCCTGATCATCTCAACTCTGATTGGCTAACAGCAACATGACTCCACGTCTGAGTGAGTTTGCTCTGCAACGTTGATGTTTTATCTCAAATAACAAAAGCCTAAATGAGTTCTGATGTGTGGTGGAGTTGCTAACGCTAACAGTTAGCTTCTGCTAGTTCAACTTGAGACGTTCTCTGTCTCCTGGACGCTAAAGTAATAACAGCCTTCCCCATTGCGAGTCAAGATGGGTGAGTCCATGAATGTTAAGTGACGGTGTGATGTCACGCTGTCGGGCTTTTCTGGTCCCAGAGCTCCGGCGTCTATTTTCTATCAGAAGCAGATGCAGGAGATAGGTGTAGGAGACTATTTTCATGTTCAGCCTGCATGAAAAACTCAGAGTGACAAATCATTTTCAAAAATAATAAGTAAAAAAAAAAATTTAAATGTTCATTCTGGCTGGAAAAGGAACTGTATTAAAATGCTCACCTTATAGAATTAATAACGTAAAAATGTGCAGCGCATTATTTAGTCTGCCCACATGTTTGGATATAAGAACCATCATGTGACATGTTATTTTATATCTAACAACAAGAACAGTTTGGAAAGTGATCCCCAGAAAAGAAAGAAAGGGCTCGTCTATGACTGAAGTGAGTTCACTTACAGCCGGGGTCGGAGTGCTCTCTCACTCATCGACCACATGAAGAGGGTAACACTTAGACTCAACACTTAACCTGAGCTCTGCAGGACGAGGCAGACAGACACTCGTACTATTGACCCGCAACAGCAGAGCCCTCAAGATGGGGTTATATACAGAACTCAATCAGCACACAGGCTTGACTCGTGGTTCAATCTGAGCTGTAGAAACACAATTCCACAGGACATTTTCCTCACTTTTCCTTTAAAAAGCAAAGACAAGTCACGCCGTAGATGGATTAATGATGCCGCGGCATAGATCTTTTAACATCCGTTATCTTATGTCGAGTAAGCACACATTTATGTCAACATATTCATTTATTTTCAGCAGCCTCTGCACAAAACTGGCTTTGTTGTTATAATCAGCTTGTCAGTTGCCCCTGGCTTTTTTCTCCTCTACTGTGAGCCTAAGCTTTGTCAATACACAAGCTTCATAAAATCTACTTCATTCTATATCTGATGTTCCGACAAGAACGTAGAGAAAATTCCTTATCACTTATAATCACTGCAGACGTGTTTCCTCTTCGTTGTACATAAAATGTCAGGCTTGTGTGGGATTGATGACACACTTTGTATTTTAATTTTCTCTTCATTGGGCTTGGCCACATTTTAAATGTTGGTGTCCAGACACGTTTAGCTTTAAAGAGCATAAGAAGACGTTTTGGTCATTTTGAAGTTTCTTTGTCATTTCCATGTAGAAAATGAGTGTTACTGTCAACATTGTTCCTGAACGGCCTCGGTTCAGATCCAGAAGTTTACCCTCTTCTGGACTGATGAGCCCTTGTCTAGTTCAACTTCAGCCAGAGTTAATCCTGCCTTCTTAAAATATTTCTGAAACTTAATTAAAATGTCCTATTTTTGTTTTCCATGTATCTTTCTCTCGTTACACCCACACACATTCCCTTCTACTTTTTATTTGTCTTTATTTTTTTCCTTATTTTCTCTTAAGTTACATACTGTGGAGGTTTTGCGGTTATCGGAATGGATTTTGTCAAAAGGCTCGATTGAAGAACTGCTGTCAAGATCATGGACACATCCATGGTAACGTAACCCTAAACAGTTTCCTGCTTCACCGCCCTACTGGTTGAAAGTGGAATTACAACTGTCGTAAACAACCCTGCCGCGGTCAGCTGTAGCTAGCATTAACAACAAACTAACCCTAACAGGAGCCATTTGATACCAAAATAAACCACAAAGTAAAAAGATCCACACTGTTGTACAAAAATAATATTACTTAAGTCCAGTAGCAACAAGGCCAGGTCACCATCAGTCCATGGTTTAGTAGCCTCCTTTAGCTCTGTCAAAAGAATGTAATTGAAAAAGCTAACTTTATATTAGCTACCAGCATGGTAAACAGCTAACAGCCGTTAAGCAGGTAAACAGCGCCCCCTAGGGCACCTACTCATTCCACAAAATTTTTAAGTGTGATTTCTGGACAGCAAATGGCTGCAGAGTACTCTCCAATGTAAAGTTTGTCAAGTTGCCACCTACACAATTACTGAAACCCACTTTAGCTCAGTGTTAAAAAACTTTTTAGCGTTACTTTAAGATCTTGTCACTTACCACCAGTTTGTTGTGGTAAATCAATGTAACAGTAAACAAAAACAATTGATAAATATCTAAAGAAGTGATACATTGATATAGTGGTTGCCATCTTATTGGGCCGATGTTTACCATTTTTTCTATATTGGCATTGATACATCTCTTTAGTAGAGCCAATTTTAAAACAGGCACATCCACGGGCAGCCTGGTGCTGTTGCCGAATTTAATTAAAATTGTATTTAAATACATTACTTAAAAACATCTGCTCTAAAACTCTAAATGCTATAAAACTTTTTTGTCAACTGATATTTCTAATTTTTTACCTGTTTGTTTATTTAATTCTTGGTCAGTTTATTGATGTGTGTGATCAGCTTTGGTTAAATGTTTGATTTTAATTCTGAGCACAAAGTTAAGCTTCAAGAATCGGAAATCAGTGTTGAAAAACAGATTCAGGTTCAGAAATGTTGTGCCTCCTTTGTTGTTATAAATGTCTAGAAATCAACCCAGAAAATCGGCAGCACATATCGGCCATGACCTTTACATACCGGCATCGTTGTTGACAATAGACAGGCCAATATCAGTGGATCTCTAATCTAAAGGACCAAACCACAAGAACATTTTAATGCTTTACTGCTTTGAATGTGTTTTAAAATCAAGCTTTTGTAATAATTATCTGAAAAACCGGTAGAAAATTAGCCTGGTAAGCCATACTGTATATGTGAAGATATAGTGTGACCATGAGCTACAGACAGAGCTCAGTCATGGAGCAGGATCTACGGTTGTCTTACAAACTGTCTCTGCATGCTTTTGGACAACGAACAACGCTACGGATGTCAGTGAATGAGACATTCCGCCATACATTTTCAAAAAAGACGCAATTACATACTTTTTTCAAAAGAAAAAGAAAAAAAGTCCTAAGTACCTCTATCAGCTCTAGATTCAAAGACAAGCCCAAGTCTAAATGGTCCAAAGTTGATGCCAAAGCCGTTTCAAATGAGCCACCGCCATTGTTTGGTTCTGTTGCATCATCCCGTCTGCCAAACCGATAGAGCGCTGTGATTGGCCGACCCAAACCCTTACAGTGCTGTGTTTGGCCAACCTAAGCCAAATAGAGTGCTGTGATTGGTATAACACAATTCTGCTCAGGCATATGGTAGACCTGCTGAGGCTCCTGTGGAGCGTGGCTAGACCGACCTGCAGGAAAATCATTTTGTGACTTCTACGGTCTGTCTAGATTTATTGGCTAGTAGTAAATTGCAAAAACTGAACACTAGCCACTTTTAAAATGGCTACTTCTTCTTTAAGCCTTTAGCATAAAACCATGAAAAAAGAAGACAAGCTGGGATGTTTGAATTGCTTCAGTCTAGTGGTTATTAGCTAGAAGAACAGACTTGTCCTTAGCTTTTAGGGACATATATTTGTGCAGAACAGCCATGGTGACTGTGAATATTAGTGAACGACAGTGGGCTTTGTGTTATTACTGGCTTTGCCTTTCTATAGTCACCAGACACACATATTCAGACACACAGTTCTGATCCATGATCAGCAAAATACATTTTGTCTTTGTTAGAGAGGGCAGAAAAAATATGTGTGAGTTTACACAATGGAGTTCGGCACCTCCGAGTCCCTCTTACCGGCAGAACTCGTCTCTCCCACACACAAACGTTCTTCCTCGGGCAGGAGCCAGCGAATTCATCTCATCAGTCCTCCGGGGACGGTGTAGCTATGCAGCTCTGTTTACTGTGGTAGAAAGTTAATATAAATTTTCATCAGAGGGAGAAGTTTACACATACGATTCTATTTGTCCTTCATTATTAGCACCTGAGTCTGGGGCTGGGTTGGCATAATTGTCTACAGACACAGGCCAAATAGATGCAAGGGAAAGGCAAATAATCACACCCCAAAATAATTTGATGCTTGTGTGTTACAATCCGTCAGCCCAGGAATTCTTAATCTAGAGAATCAATAAACAAGAGGTGAGATAGCTGGGCGAGAAGGGGAAGCAGAAATGAATATTGTGATGTGAAGAGCGTGAAGGAAGAGGGGGAGAAGGAGTGGATCACCGAGCTTTAAAGAACAACAAAGGTAAAGTTAAATAAGTATAAGGGAGTTTGTGCATGTTTAGCTCAGGAGATGTGTGTTGAGACAGATGGAGCTGAAGTAGCTGAAAGTAAGAAGATGGAGGTAGAGGAGCGGGACACAGGAGCCCATTGTTCTGGATGTTTTTACCTCTGTCCCGAGGCTCGGGCAGATTCTCCGTGGACTGTTGATTTATCGATTCGTGCATTAAAGTGCTCGTTACTCCTGCATACTTTCTCAATTCTCCCTTTCTCCCCACTTAGGTTCTTGTTTTGTATTAGGGGAACTGTCTGAAAAATCACCCACACCTTTCTGGCAGAGCTTGTTCTGACGTTATCGAGGTTGCCTGAAGTTAGACCCAGACGGTGCACGTGTGGTCGAGCAGTAAGGTGGTGATGTTTTGTTTTATTTTAATGAACTCAATGATGCAGATCTGACTGGAACAGGTGTGCGCTGTTTGCTTCATGGCACTTGGTATGAGACTGAATCTTGGGCCACCGTTGGCAGTTCTGACCTTTACAAAAGGATAAGAGTCTTTCCACTTGTATGAATGGGTTACTTAAGATTCTTTTCTAGCTTTCATGTTCTCTGACCCATTCTTCTTTTTCAGTCTGATTTTTTTTATGGGACACCTTGTCCCGCTATCTTCACCTCTCATTTGTTTATCCTCTCCAACCAGGCCCTCCAAATCTCTATCCATCTACGCTAAGTCCTGAGGAGATAAGGTGCAAATATTTTGGTGTGGAGTGTGAGCACCAACAATTTTGCAGCCTTGGTCCAATCAGCCACGTTTGTTTGTTCAGCTTAAACTGTTTTGTTTTCCATGGCACCAGACTCCCTCCAGCTTAATAAAACAACAGTTTTTCCTTTCTGAATCTGTTTCCTCGAAGCAAAGGTTGCGCAGGCCTGGAGATGCAACGCACACATGTGTGCTTATGCGTCAATCGTGCATGTGTGTGTGTTGTCAAAGCTGTCAGCCTATGTGGAGTTGTTCTGGCCCGCAACCCGGTGTTGAACAGCGGCAACAAACACAAACATCTGTTCGGCACACTTGAGGTAAACCGTGATGCAAGCCTGTTTCTTAGTGGCCAACAACTGGCGCCGTGTTTACAGCCGCTTCCTGCAACAGAGCGGCATCCTGTCAAGAGATACCTGTTGGGGGCAGATTACACATCTGTGTCGTCATCCCAACATCGGGTAAATCCCTTAATAACAACGGTTCCCAGTGCGATTTGAGCCAGGAAGTGATCTGCACTGTCCAAACACCATGGCATAGCCCCTCAAATATACCCAGAGCCAGTGTCATGGCTGAACATCCTGCTGCATGAGGATTTGAAAGAGTGACAATCTTTGTCAATGGCTTACCCCCTCCCCCCACCCCCACCCCCACCAACACCACCTGCAATAAGCAATCTGGACATTTGTAATGGTTTGGCGCAGTTATGAAGTGCCCGCTAATGTATTTCATGCTTGTTTAAGATCTTTGCATGCTCCTTACAAAGGTGCATTGTGATAGGTGTTTCTTATTACTGGATTCTGTGTAAAACCACAGTTGTGTATGGAAACTAGGTGGGGTGGGGGATGTTGTTTTTTCAGTCCCCTGTCCTCCCCTTTCTGTCAGCTCTTCTCACTCTCTCCTTTCTGGCCCTCTCTAGTGATCTCTGCATGCCTATTAATGTAGGAGAGGAATGCCTGTGTAAACATTCTTGTTTCTCAGTCCGTTTCGCATAATAGTTGCCTGTATCGCCTTTCTCCTGACCTCACTATCTGAAACCAATTACTCCAGATCCATTTGGGCTGAATCTTATTTTCATAAGGATCCCTGTGTCGCGGTCTTAGTCGCTCTGTGTTATTTTCCTTCCATGTGTTTTTTTCCTCTTTTCCAGCCTCAGTGATGGATATCAACATCAAATATGCCTCTGAGTGCCTTGTTATTTATATTGTGGGGCCTCTGTCTGGCTTGCTCTCTCATTCTAAGAATGTGTCACATTGTGCTGTTTATACAATGTGTGAATTAATAGACTGGGAATGTCATTTTTTCGTGCATAGCAACCCAGGTTAAATAGATGGTGCATCTGCACTTGTCGGTGTTTTTTTTTTTTGTCCACTCTGGCAGCTCTTCAGCAAACTTTTGATGACTTTTCTTGGTAGTTGCAGCTTTTTTTGTGCGTTCAGATGGGCTTTAACTCTTCCATCTGTGTGGAGTGAAAGTGGGTGGCTCAAATTGGTGCTTTTTACTGTAATGGCTGAATACTCAGAGCGGGAGAATGCAAAGGGACAGGACTTCTTTTTCTTTTTATCCCCCTTCTTACTTTCCACACCATCACCGGCGCTCCGAAAAAATGGCTAACCCCAATTCCACGGAGGAGGTGACAGACGGTTTGAGACATGACAAGCCACCGTGGAAAAGTTTTGTCCGGTGTTGATAAGCTCGGTGTTATGTTTTGAGGAGCTCAATGTGAACAGACTTTTTTTTATATAATAGGCCTGCTGTGGTAGGATTTTGCTTCATCCTTCTTTTGCTTTCACTGTTGTGGACGTTTCCTTAGCCCAGATATTAAAAACACGTATTTTTTTCTTCGTACTTGACCGTGTGTAACATACCGAGCAGCTCTCTTGACTTTGGGTGAAACACAGCGAGTCATTATTGATTTGCACTTGGAAAAACATTTCCCCCAGACAGCTACCTTGAGCCACGCTCATCAGGCAGCCTCCCCTCCAACTACTGAGTGCAGGACTCAATAAACCTTATAATTACTTTGATTCGCCAATCATGGGGAGATTAATTGGGCCCTGTGTTTTAATTAGCAAAGCGATTGGCTGCTTTCCAGGAATTTCTGTCATCTTTTGTGTTCAGTAAAAAGGGAAAATGTTGGATTTCCCTTCTAGCTCGTCTGCCAAAATTGTGTGTGTGCACACAGATGTGAATGTGTGTGTGTGTTTTTTTCTAAGCAAAACCTTGGCTTGGCTTAGAGATGTCATGGTGCACACACACACACACACACACACACACACACACGTACAGTGGCGACTGGGCTCCTGTTACAGAGGAGACGGATCAATGCAGTTAGGCCTCGGTTCCAGTGTAATGTGTTTGTTTACTGAAGATCAGAAGCCCTGGCTCCTCCTGAGCAGCCAGACAGCCCCCTCCCCAGCACTACCTCCACCTCTCAAGGCACCTCCTCAGCTCTGTCTTTTCATAATTGATCAGAAGAGGGGGGGGTGGCTGTGTTCCCTGAGGGGTTAAGACGTGGCAACTTTTTCTCTCCTCCATGTTTTTTCCGAGGCCTTTCTTTTTCTGTCTCCTGTCTTCTCCTCTTGTTTGCTCAGGATCTCAATGTACCGGTTCAAACATTGTTCCCACCAGCTGGTAGAGCTGCGCCATATGCACGCCCTGTCAAAGCAGCTGTTGTCATGGATACCGGCAAGCGCCAGATCAAAATGAGCACCCCTGATTCCTGAGAAAGTGTCACTCTCTTTTTCTTTTCCCTCCCATTCATCACCCTCCTTGTTTCATCACAGATAAAACACCTGTGGAGTTGTTGTGTTGTGAGAGTAGCCCTTACAAGTTACAAGTACAAGTTTTTCTGTTGTGTGATGTAACCGTGTTGTACGTGTGTTCACCATGACACTTTCGCCCTGTTTTTGAGCACCTCAGAGAGGTGTTGAGACCAGTTGACAGTGTACCTCTTAAGCTAAGACGTATGCCTATGACAGTACAGGCTGCAGGGGAGCTGTAATCCTATCAAACCCTAAAAAACACAAAGGACCCATCGTCTTTCACTCCAGAGCCGCAGATATAGATCATCATGTGTGGAAAACTGATGGAATTTCACTTGTTTTAGTCAAATTGTGAAAAAAGCTTTGTGTGCATTCTGTATCTGTAGTAGAGGTGTGAATCTTCACCAGTCACATGATTATACTTGATTACAATTATTACATCAGTGATTCAATTCAATTGATACCCAATATGGGTTTATTGAATAGAGTAGAAGATGTCATACTTTTTTTTAATCTAAGAATGTCTGACACAACATGCCATCCCCCAAAAAGCTTGTCAATCACAACAGTCCTTAGGATGGTGTAAAAGTGCAAAGAAGGTTTATCAAAGTAAATTCAATTCTGTTTCCCCCTTTAACAGTCGCATCTGAGGCTGTTGCAGAAACAAGCTCTGCAGATGCTAACAGAATCTTAAAAAATACTGAAAACTTATTGGACAGGTCCAATTCTTACCTTCAATTTAGCTGTTAAAATCCATAATGGGTCCAAATATTGTTTATATATTATTATATAAACTTTTATATTGATATTTAATGTCTTTGGAGAGGCTTCAGCATCAAATACTCTTACCGCGGTGAAAACAACAAACTGCATTACACAATTATTGATCATCCATCCATCTATTTATGGTTGCTTATCTGGGGTCGGGTCCCAGGGCCAGTAGCCTGAGCAAGGAGGCCCGGACTTCCCAGCCGCTTGGGCTAGCTCCTCTGGGGGAACCCCAAGGCCTTCCCTGGCCAGCCGAGAGACATAGTCTCTCCAGCGTGTGCTGGGTCTTCCCTTTGGTCTCCTCCTGGTTGGACATGACTGGAAAACCTCACCGGGGAGGCATCCTGACCAGATGCCCGAGCCATCTCAATTGGCTCCTCTTGATGTGGAGGAAAAGCGGATCTACTCTGAGCCCCTCCCGGATGACCACGTTTCTCAGCCTATCTCTAAGGGAGAGCCCAGACAGCCCCTTGTATCCACTCCCATCTCATTCTTTCAGTCACTACCCAAAGCTTGTGACCGATGAGGGAGGAACGTAGATCGACCAGTTAATTGAGAGCTTCGCCTTCCAGTTCAGCTTCACCTTGGCAGACCGGTACAACGCCCGCATCACTGCCGACGCAGCACCAATCAGCCAAACAATCTCATGCTCCATCTTTCCTCACTCTTGAACAAGACCCTGAGATACTTAAACTCCTCCACTTGGGGCAGGACCTCATCCCTGACCCGGACAATAATCAGTCCAATTCAGTGATTCATTAACATTTATGTCTGCATCTTGATGCATCGAGATTAATTTCCAAATCAGTTAGTACATAAAATGTGTTTTGAATGATTCTTGGCTATTACCACCTTCAAAACTGGCACAACTGACTGAGCTGTAGTAGTTTTTCTGTTTGTGTTGATGAGCTGTTGTGCTGTCTTGAACTGGGTCGACTCAAATAGTTACTGGCAAATTTTCTAGCAAAGAAATTGAGTAATGTGTAAACCTCGGTTCTAAAGTACTGCAACAAATACAGCTCAATGCTATAGAATAGACAGAGTTTCAGTCCTTTTTGTTTATGTCAGTAAACATCGTCAGTTGTAAGTAAGTTATAGTCAGTTGTAAGTAAGTTATAGTCAGTTGACTATGGCAGCTGCCCAAACTGGAATCGCAGGTCGTGGGTTTACCTTTTTTTTTGTTTGCATCAATATCTGTTCATAAGGTTGTTTACAAAAAAGAAACACACAGAAAAAAGCAGTTTTTTTATTCTAGTAGGGCTGGGCAATAGATCGAAAATGTATCGTTATCAAAGTTTCTGACTCTTAACGTGATAATTTTTCTCATGTCAATAAATTTGATAGTAAAAAAATGAAAAGATGTGTGTAGGTTGGCAATGCTCGTGTCCCTTTAAGAAGCTATACCCCCTTGAGTCACATAAAAATGTGACTCAACGTAATACATGTGACAGCCCCATCTAGTGGACAACTTTTGTTTATGCGCATACCTGTAGTTATCGTTCATTTATCGTTATCAAGGTTAAATTCCCAATATATCGTGATATTGATTTCAGGTCGTATCTCCCAGCCCCAGATTCGAGGTAATAATGCACCAACATGACATTTTTGGGTCGATACCGATAATAATATCACTGTTATGGCCGATAATTTATATTTACTGATACCGATATTCTGACTAAATACTCATAAATCGGCAGAGTTTGTATAGAATAAAAATGATTAAATTTGAATTTACATTATTATGTACACACACATCTTCTGAGATGGTTACAATCACAGTCGCATGACTAAACAACTACACATCACTCCCCTCACCCTCTGAAACAGATAAACAAAGAGAAACAAGATGGATAAAATATTGGTTGTTAAAATTGTTTTATTTACCGGACCGATACCGACAGTGATGCCGATAAATTGTGCAACCCTAATTCTAGGAGATAATAAATTACATCTCAGTGTGATTTTCCAACAAAATCTACATCATGAGCTGATGAGATTTACAATTTACAAACACAGACCTTCAGATCTTTTTGTGTGTGTGAACTAATTTCACCAGAAAGAAAACAGGGTTTTTTTTGTTTGTTTTTTGTTTTTTGACCAATCTGTTAATCTCTCCGCCTATCTCCTGTCGTCTGCACATGAGCACCCGGAATGCATAGTGTAAAACCCAGACTGCTGGTTAATTCAGTCCAAATGTAATCTGATGTTGATTTTTGTCAACTTTAATTACAGCTCCCAGGGACACTTCACATGGAGCTGCCTCTACTTCAAATTGATATTATGAATATGCAAATGTGCTTGTAATTTGCAGAGAGAAGTGGATATTTCAGTTGAGCACACACTAGACAGGTCAATTCTACTCTGCCTTCCCACCCACCCACCATCTTTCTTCTTCAGGGGTGCTCAACACAAATGGTGTTTATCCTTGATCACAGCTCTATGAAATGTTTCTAAATCACATCTTCAGTGTTGTGTCAACCGCGTTTGGACAAAGCAGATTTTCACTAATAAACTAGCGCTTTGGTGTCGAAACGTGTTATTTTTACTGTGAGCTTTGGGAAATGAAATAGTTTATTTTCAACCCCCCTCCCTCTTTATCTCTCCATCTCTGTTTTCTCACACCGTGTTTTGTATTGTGTTCTCTTCTTCTCAGGCGCTACAAGCAGCGAGGCAGTTACTCTTGCAGCAGCCAGGCAGTGGCCTGAAATCTCCAAAGAGCCAGGACAAGCAGCGTCCACTGCAGGTAAAGCAGCTCTCCATCTAATGTCTTAAGTTCATCCATAATACATCCTGCACCGAAAAGGAAGATTTCCTCAGTTCCACTGAATGTGTTTGGTTTGCAATCCTCGGACCTGTCGCTGGAATCCTAAAGATGGACAAGTCGGTCCCCGGGAAGCTAGAGAACAAGTTCTATCCGCCCACCTTCAAGTAGTACATGGTTGACCCAAAGTTATTTGGTATAACAAGCAGAAATCCTCGAGGTTATTTAACGTTTGAGCCTTCGTAGCTAATTTTACCCGCCTGTCATTTCCATCCTTCTGCTCAAATTTACCTTATTGATTTGTAAAGCTGTCTATTTCTGTTGTCGGTGATTTGGAAAAGGTCACACGTACGCAAGCACAGTTTCACACTTCCTCTTTCCTCTCGCTGCTGAGAAATTTCTCACACCAGCGTCTTTTCAGCCCGCTCGTCAACAAGACGGTTAGTTATTTTTCTCCCCTTCTTCAAATTATGTAAGCCCCCTTGACATCTGCTCCATGTTTTTACTCAGAGTATTTTTTTATCTAATGTTTTTTTTTTGCCATTTGAAATTGAAGTGTGGGAGTTTGTGCCCTCCACTCGGTTAATAAGTACTATCAAGGTGCAGTGGTTTACCTCATTAGGAGCTCTGCGCGTTTCATTAATGATGGGGGAAATTGGCGTTAACCTCACCCGTTGGTATTTTCACAGAGTCTAACAATGGCGACACCTTCAATTGGAGTCACACCCCCGTGTGTCTAATTGCATACCGGAGAAGACTCTGTCATATGTTTTCCTTTAAATAATTCAGCTCAGATTCATCAGGAGTGATAATATTATTTTCCCCAACAATGGCATCCAAGTTGGATTCTTAAAGCATGTTTGAGGGGCTTCGCATGCTCAACAATTGGGATCTACAAATGCCTGCACAGGAACCGGGTTCACCTCGTTGGCCTGAGGAACCCGAGAGGTGTGTGTGATAGCCATCCAAGCCCCTGACTCTAATAACACCAGCACATGGTAAATATTGAATATTTACATTTGCTTACTTCCTGGCGATATGAATCAAAATGAATCAGAAGGCCTGCCGATCGGCCCGTCCTCAGATCCCAACTAATCCATTTGTTGATCCAGCTTTCATTAACACCCTCACCTCTTTGTTCCAGAAAGTCTCAGTGCACGGTGTCACTCTGTGCACCATCACAGCTCATTGCATTCTGGTTCCAGATCATTCCTTACAGTCATGCACCCCCTGAATCTTCATTTCAAATGACATTTTACCTGTAATACTCCATTGTGCAAATATCAGTGCAAAGCAGTAGAAACTTAATTAAAATATCCAGATTTTTCTTTTTTTGTTTTGTTTTTGTCTTGTGGGAGTTTACCCAATAAGGCTGCATTATTTACCAGGATTATGAGGCCACAACGGATGCTACAGTGCAATATTTTATTAGCTTCCCAACCAAGAGTCAGTGTTTTCCACCCAAAGAACCACGTGGATTGATCTCCTTGTATGATTAGTGCTGCAGAAAGTGGGAAAGGGATTAATGTAACCGCGACATGCTGGAGATGCTGCTAAATCCTCTCCCAGTCTCTTCTTCTTCTTTTTCTTTGGTATTTAGGGGCGAGAAATGATCCATAGATCATGGCATGTAAATTATTTAGTACACAAGCATCTAAGTGCCTCAGCTTGCAGTTTTAATTACTTGCATTAGCAGCTAAATGCTCTTGCCTGACTAATTCTATCCTCTTGCTCATCGCTGCTTCTCAGGAGTTGATGATGCAGAGGCAGGAAGCTCTGGCATTCACACGCGTGTGCATGTGAAGTACAGAAAACAACAGTCCCACAAACACTCGTGCAAGCGCACCAAGCTGTTTCACCACATTTGCGTAATGTGACAGGTCTATTATTACACACTAAGCCCACGGGAGCGCTCAATAAACACCTATTTCTTCCTGTAAATCCTCCTGTCCCCGCCATGCTGCTTACACGGCTCTCCCAAGGCACACAACACCCTCTTGTCTCTGCTCCTTTCTCCTCAGCTCATCTCTCCTCATGTTCTTGTGTATGGCAATCCCCACCCCCCCCACCCCCCCACACACACACACAAAGGTATTTATACACTGACATTTGGAATACAAATAAAGAAATGCGGACAAGGAGAGGCGGAGAGGATTACAGAGGGCTGTGAATCTGACAGTCATATAATGCATCCTTGAAAAGTGTGTGCTCAAACAAACACACAGTTAGTTTTAGACTGATGACTTTGTCCAAGTCTCAGTCCATCGTGGGGGACTCAATAAAAAACAGAACACGCTCTGCTGTTGGCGACTAGATGAGGACACAACATTGGACGTTATCAGCAAGAAGCAAAATCAGTCGTTGCAAAAACCCTCTAGGGAGAAGTTTCCTTCATGTCAGGGTTATGTGGGTCTTATAAATTTGATCTCAAATGCAAACTTTTCTCATCTTATTCAAAAGTTTGGTGCAAAGCCCTCCCAACAATTTTAGATTAAATATGCAACTCATGCCAGGAAACTATGAAACCTTCCAGTCATTTCAAGACTTTTCACAAAGGCCATTGAATGTGGATCACAAAGTTGCTTCCCAGTTACATGCAGGATTACGTGGACATCTGCCTCCCTCTCACTCTGATGTGGAGCTACAAGAGGCAGTAATATTTATATTTGTTTGCCAAGTCTACGCCCAGCCCTACCAGAGAGGAAGAACTGAGGAGGAGGATGCACAAAACCTAAAGGAAACACAAACATGGGTGTGATGGTGAATCAGAGGAGGGTGAAAGAGAGTTGGACTGAAATACTTTGCTGACATCAAACAAAAGTTTGAATGCTTGAAGTAGATGTTTTCTTTTTTCTTTTTTCCATGGCACTGGAATGGTCGAAAATAAAATGTAGAAGATCATCAGGAGGTCTTTTGTTCCCTCTTAGGGGGGGAAACTCCCACTGGGTTTAAATCTGGGACTCTCCACCATTTGACCTTAGAAGTGAAGAAGCCTCTCGGATGAGAGGTGAGACGTCTTCAAGCAACTCAAAGAAGTCCAGACGCTTTTCTTTCAAAGCTCATTAGACTACAATGACCTGGATGACTGAGAACCTTCACAGACAGGTCAAAAATAAAAAACACACAATCACCCTGCAGCTGTGATACAGCGTCTCTTTGCATGTAGCAAGGTTTAGCAAAAGTTAAGCCTGATCTGCGTCGGTGTGGAGACACGAAACGCCGTTATGCGTCGGCGCAAGGGCTCCCCGACAGGCTCACAGAGGGTGATGGAGACATGCTCAAAATTTCAAGCATCCGTTGAAAGCGACAGAGACCGCAAGCTTGTGATTGGTCAGGATGCCGCTTCCTGTATATTCCTCACCAACACCGGTAAAAAGTAAACAGATATTTAGCGGCAGATGCTGAACAGATTGAAGAACGCATCGCGGAAAAAGTCAGAAAATATGAACATTTATTCACCCGAGAGTGAAGGAGTACAAAATACGGAGCAAATGTGGACGGAAGCTATGGGAAATGTGGGTTTAGGTTAAGTTCGGATGTGAAAACCTTTCCGACACTCCGTGTGCGTCTCTCCATTGCAGAGCTCACTGAGAAGCATGAATCAGGCTTTAGTGTGTTTCATTGCTGCTTTTTAAAGTTGGTGTTTACATTGGAACATTTCTAGTAAAGTCACAGGAGTGATTCACCGGGCCTTTCTACCGTTTAGGCGGCGCGTAACCTCCACAAACGGATCGTGCAGCTATTAGGCTCCGCTGTAATCGATGGGTGCGTTTCCACGGGGACGCTTTGGGACGCGTTGCTTATGCTTCAAGTTTATTTTTTATGAGCTCAACGGTACAGATTGGTCCGGACAGGAAGTCAAAGATGGACGCAGTGTAAAAATGTGAAAACTTTAAGAATAATAGTCATATGGAGATTTCCAGTTGCTTAACTAGAAAAAAAAAATGTATGCTATGACTTGTGACGCCTCTGTAGCCGAAGTAAATAAAACAAAATAAACCACTGCAATTTGCAATCCTCCCGATATTTTGTGACCTCACAGAAGCAACTGGGTAGAGCGCTTTCGCTGCCGTCTTGAGTCTGAAATGCTCCTTAATGTTACACGCTGCTTATGCATCCAGTGGAAAGCCATGGTAAGTGAACGTCGTTTCAGTGATGTTTGCTAATGTGAGAGGAGTTGTAGTGTGTAGGAGTAGCTGCTCTGGTTACGTGCATTTCTACCAAATGATATTTTCTATTAAGACTCAGAGTTACAGACTTGAGCAGGTCAAGTATGACATCTGCTGGATTCAGAACAGGAGGTGCACCCACAGGAATTAGATATCAATTAAAGTAATTGTTGACTAATCAAAATGAACAATGGACTGATTAGTCTAATGTCAAAGTTGTCACCCATTGGAGCCCTGATCTGTAGGCGTTAGATGCTTGTGAGTGTGCACCTCTCCATATTAGTGATCACCTACTTCATTTCCTACCCCTCAGCCTGCTTTTTCTCTGGCTACCAGGCTGTGAATGCATTTTCACAAGACTTCCAACTTTAGTTTTATCTGCACACTGTTCAGCCCCAAGGATTAAAGAAAACGTTCAAGCTTGTACAGATCACAAAGGATGTTGTTTCAGCTCGGTTTTCTGTGTGGTTGCGGCTTTCAGCCCGGAAAAGTCCAAACGACCGTGGGCACTGGGCCATCCGAGGAAGTGTCACACTTTTAAAGGTCAACTCGGCACACTTTCAGCAGCGAGCCAATATCGTCTCAATGGCAGCTGCTTATTGGCTTTCATCCAGAACACATGTACAGTCACACATAAACGCAAGGAAAAGGGCTTTGACACAAAACGAGTGCAGGTTAGCTGACTCCGGTGTGCATGGCGAAAGGATGCTAGTTCACATTTACATTTATGAATACATCTTTCTGCTGCATCCCCTCTGGTTGGATCTGAAAATAGAAAAAAATTATCACAGCGGAGGGGGAGGGAAAAGAAGA